ACCCTTCTTCAGAAATTTTCTGAAGAAGGGTCTAGGCCCGAAACGTCAGCCTTCCTGCTCCTCTGATGCTGCTTGGCCTGCTGTGTTCATCCAGCTCTACACCTTGTTATCTATGGAAGAGTGGTAAGATTGTTTTTTATGTCGCAGTACAGTTTTAAAGTATAGTCGAGGTGTAGTGTAGGGATGCAACTTCAAACCTCAAACTCTACTCAGTTCCCCTCCTCCATGAAGTTGCTGTAGGTAGGAAGCTGTTCAGTTACTCCATGAGAGGTAGAGAAGGAAATGGAGAAACTATATAACAAATAAGGAGTTATTTGTAACCACTGTGAGGTGTCTCCTGGCAGCTTGTCAAGAACAATATTGTATCAATGGCTTGGGAGTGGGCATCCTTTCATAGCCTCACTGCTGTATTGGCTTCAAAAGCTAAAGGCTCTCAGGAAGATCTTGAGGAGAAACGGCGAGCAAGGGGCGAAAATGTTAACTTCCCTCAGACAAGTAAAATGGAATAAGACAACAGTGAATAATAATATCATGGAGGAATCCCTGAGTTTTGTCCAACATGTGAAATCACTCAAACCAGAAAAGCCTTAAATATAATAAAAGCTTCAGAATTCTGTTTCACGGAAAAGATTGAAATTACTTCACACCGTAAAGCACGTACAATGGCTTGATTCTGATTTTGTGTAGGTGAATTGCTTTTGAGTGAGTTAAAATTTGGCCCATAAATTAGAAAAATAAAATGGAAAATACAACATCAAATTACTGAGAAGGAGTAATAAATGGACGGGAGTAATAAAAAGATACAACAATCATAAGAGTCATTACAATGAATTTAAGATTTAAAAATACACATGATCCAAACATAAATGGAATAAATCAACTCAACATGCAAGTTCAGTGTCAGATTAACAAATTTGCCGAAGTGTACAAATTTAATACTAGGGTAACCACTTCACTTGGAGACACCAGAATTTAGGTGTTGAATTACTGGTATTTATTACACCTTCCATTTTGTTCAATGCTTGTTTGCTCTGACTGCAGTTGCTATGTTACAAAGATAAGCAAATTTATACAGAAGTCCTGATTTAACCGTAACTCGTTTTGTCAAACCTTTGATCAGGACTAAGGAAAGAAAAGCTTTCATATATACACAATCCCCTTTATAACTCTAAACAGATCAATGAAGATTCATTTCATGGCCTGAGATCTGTAAATGCTCCATATTGCTCCATCAGTTTCTCTTTTAGTCACTGATATAATCTTTTCACTTAGAAATTCTTTACTCTGATGATTCACTTTGTTTAAACATAGGAAATGTTTTGCATAAGTCTGGTACCATTTTTCTCCCTGTGAATGAGTCTGTGTACTTGGACAGGCATATTGATCAAATTAATTCTACCCTGGTATCAGTAGCTTGAAATCACATCTATCACTGCATGTTTTGTCAACTCAAAAGGTAACAAACCATATTTGTTGCACGGGGGCAACTTCTTATGACTGACGTTCAATCCACAAAGACTATGATCCTGCTAACTTTTTAAATATCTTACGAATGTGATTGTCCACCAAATGCAGTACCCAGTGTAGTGGGTTAGATCAATTTTATGCAGAATTTTGACAACTTCAGAAATTAAAGATTTAACATTATTGTTTAAGTACTGTCATCAATACCTACTCCTTCAATATTTCTTATGGATGCGCTCTGGGAAATAACGGTCAGAAAGTGCCTCCTTCAAAGCAGTCTCCCAATTCTCTCCAACTCACAGTCAAAATTGGCTGTTGTTAATCTGAAGAGGACTTCCGAGACTCTATATTGTTATATTTATCTGATATTTTTAAAAAATACACCTGGCTACAGACTATGCAATATGTAAAGTTTTCATTATATCACATAGAGAGAGCAGAATGGAACTAAGTAGACAGTGGTTTGGTCACTTCATCACCATAGCCAGCACTGTCCGTACAACTCCAGTTTCAGTCAACTCTACAAGTTGGGACAGCCTGAAGTGACTGAATGAGCAATTACATTTGAATTATATGTGAAGCAATTATTTAAATAACCTCAAATACTTTCTGTGCTTAAATCAAGTGAAGTACTGCCTTTGTAATGAAAATATATAGCAAATGGTATGCACTATGTGCCTGATGCAAGCAGGGACAGACTAAATGGTGAGGACAAAACAGAGTGAACATTTTGGGTCCAGTGACTGCTCTGAGGAAGGGTCACTGGACCCAAAACGTTAACTCTGATTTCTCTCCACAGGTGCTGTCAGGCCTGCTGAGCTTTTCCAGCAATTTCTGTTTTTGTTTCTGATTTCCATCTGTTCTGGGTTTTCTTGGGTTTTTTGGTTAAATGGTGACTGTATTTTCAAACAACAATAAAATTACGTGCATACAAAATTGTCAGTTCCCTGCACCTGTGGCATGACAAAATACGATATCAAAAGCATTGTAAAATGCTTCTCTAAAATGGAGGTCACAAGAATGACTCCAGCTCTGAATCTTTAAACATACGAAGGTAATTAGATTACAAGCAAGTAGAATCTTCATTTTGTATTCCAAAATTGCTTGCATAACTCTAAAGATATTTACCTTTATCTTTATACAAAAATACTCTTGACTGAAATTGTACAATTTTATTGAAAACTAGAAAATAAACACTATGTTGGCTGGGTCAGGCTGCTTCGGTTAACAATCCTTCAGCGATAACAAACGTGCAATGAACATCTGTGCTGCCTTCTTATTCTCAATAACATCACCCTGATTTGTGGCATTAGGAGGTGGTCTCAACAAGAGTGCTCCAAAGATGCTTGCTGTGAAGAGAGGAAAAAGGAGCTTGTAAAGTTCAAATTATAGACTGGAATCCTGAATCTGAACATCAAATGAAGAGTGTGGTACAGAATCCAGAGGTACCTTTTAAAAACTGTAAATTACTTATACATAAAACAATATTCATCTATACCTGATGCATTCTAACATTTCCAAAAGATTTTTTATTCCTATCATCCAGTCTCTCTCAGGTTCATGAAAAAAATCTCACAATACTATTCTGATAAAGGGCAGGAGGACTGAAGTTGCTATGATGTCCTGGCAATATTTATCCCTCAATTAACATTAAAAGGACAGATTATCTGATCATTATGACAGTGCTGTGTGATAGAAGTAACACAAAATTGTGAGTTGTGTTTTCTATGTTACAACAGTGACTGCATTTTAAAAGTACTTTATATGCTGTAAAGTCCACGTGATGTCTTAAACAAAGGTGCTATACAAATGCAACAAACATGGAGGATGCTGGAGAATCTCAGCAGGTCTGGAAATATCTGTGGAGAGAGAAACAGAATTTATGTTTCAAGTCCAGTATGATTCTTCTTCAGAACATATAAGTGCAAGCCTCTTTTTTCTTTTACAGCATCTACTGTATCACTCCATGATCAGGTGCACTCTTCAGTGCTGGATCTGCAGAAGTGAAAATCTAACAGATATTTCCTTCATGTAAATACTGCAAAGTCTGAAGCCATTGTTTTCGGTTCCCACTCAACTCCATTCTCTCGTCCCAACCTTGATGTCATATTTGATCCAGAGCTGAGCTTCTGACCTCATATTCGCACCATCTTTAAGAATGGTTATTTTTCCACTTCTGTCGCATCTCGACTTCACCCGCCTCAACTCATCCAATGCAGGAGCCCTCATTCATGCTGCTGTGACCTCCAGCTCAACTATTCCAACACAATCCTGGCTAGTCTCCGACATCCTACACTCCATAAACATGAGGCCATTCAAAATTCTGCTGGCCATGACTTAACTTAGAGCAAGCCTTGTTCTCCTGTTGCCTCTGTGTTTGCTAATCTACACTGATTCCCACTCAACTGTCCTGATCCCATTTTCCAACACTTGTGCCATAGCCTTGTATGCCCTGACATTGTAAGTGCACATCTAAATATTTCTTAATTGTTATAAGAGTTTCTGCCTCTCCCAGTCTTTCTGGCAGTGGGTTCCAGATTCCCACCGCCCTCTGGGTGACGAAGTTTTTCCTCAAATCTCCTCTAAACCTCTGCATCTTACTTTAAATCTATGCCACTGATCACTGATCCCTCCATCAAGGAGGGGGGAGCAGTTTCTTCCTGTCTACCCTACCTATACTTACCAATTTTATACAACTCAGTCATGTCCCCTCTCATGTTGTAGTACATGAGACAAATAACAAAGGAAGCCTATGAGATAACAAGGTGTAGAGCTGGATGAACACAGCAGGCCAAGCAGCATCAGAGGAGGAGGAAGGCTGACGTTCCGGGCTTAGACCCTTCTTCAGAAAGGAAGCCTATGTAGTCTTTACACACAAATTAAGTTGTGAACCAACCTAATGCATTTGCTCCATGCATTAGGTTGGTTCACAACTTAATGTCTTTGATTTGTATAAACACAAAAATGTGGATGCTGGAAATCTGAAAAAACAGTGCATGCTGGATAAACAGAGTAGGTCTGGCAGCATCTGTAGAGAAAAAGGAGAATTAACATTTTAAGTTACACCTCAAAACATTAACCCTGCTTTTTTTCCAACAGATGCTGCCAGACATGCTGTGTTTCCCCAGATCTCTGTTCTTGTCTTTGACAACAAGGCCTTATACAAATCAATGCCAAGAAAGACTGCACACTGTACCAAGAATAGTACAGCACAGATACAGGCCCTTCAGCCCACCAACCCTGCGTCGACATATGATGCCTTTCTAAATTAAAAGCCCCTTGTCTCTGTGTGGTCAGTATTCCCTCTGTTTCCTGCCTATTCATGTATCTGTCAAGATGCCTCTTATATTATACCTGCCTCCAACACCACCTGTGGCAGCAGATTCTTGGCACTTACCATCCTCTGTGTAAAAAAAAAAATTCCCTCTCACATCTCCTTTATACTTTCCCTCTTTTACCTTAAACCTATGACCCCCTAGTAATTCACATGTCTATATTGGGGAAAAACACTCCAGCTTGCCATTCTATTCATGACTATTATAATTTTGTAAACTTCCCTCAGGCCATCCCTCAACTTCCAACGTTCAAGTGAAAACAAATTGAGTGTGACCAATCTTCATAACCAATACCCTCCAAACCAAGCAACATCCTGGCAAACCTTTACTGTACCCTTTCCAAATTCTCCACATCCTGCTGGTCGTCTGGTGACCAGAACTGTGCACAATATTCCCAATTGTGGCCTGATTAAAATTCTACACAGCTAGCACATGACTTGCCAATTTTTATACTCTGTGCCTTGACCGACGAAGGCAAGTTTTATAAAGTGGAGGTTGACCCCACGACCCCACCCCCCCGCCGAGAACTAAAACCAAAACAACCAAAGAGGAGCACCTCGCCCTATAGTCTGTAAAAGGAGTGTGAAAAGTGGTGTAACCTGCCTTTCAACAACTTCTAGTGGTCAAATAAAATAAATCCCTAACACTCACTTTACAATCCACAAGTAACTTTTTTTTAAAATCTAACTCCAATGGTGAACTAAACTATTATCAAACTAAATAAATCCCTTCTAACTACTAACTTTTCCTGAATAAAACAAGATTCTAATGGTATGCTGTTCCAATAAATATCGATCCCATTTATATAAACTACAAATCAAATTTACTCTCTCGAAATTACAGTTGGGTTACATTTCTTCCTGAATGCTCTGTGCCTTCTCTGTCAATTCTTCTGTCAGGAATAATCACTAGTTGTGCCATGGGTACCTTTTGTTCTTCACATGGTGCTTTCTCCAAAACTTAGAGGAGACTATGAGAGCCAGCGATTTTCTCTTGCGAGCACAGCAATATCAACTCTGGTGGATGGCAGTTATCTCTCTGTGGTTTCATCCAACTACCACACCCCCAAACTCCGTCTTTTATACCCTTGATGACATAGCAATATTTCTTACAATAAGATTGGTCCTAGCTTGTCAAAACCATCAGATTTAAATTTAATTTTTTTTTGGTAACTAAGTGCCTGAATCAAATTGATTGGCTAAATTCAAAACTTGCTGTCTTGGTAAAAACTACTGCTTGGCTTGCTAACTGTACAGCCTTTTGATACAAATGTTTCAGTTTGGTTGCCCTCTGTGTACTTACTTTCAAACTGCTCACAGACATTTTTTTTAAATGTCTAAGCATAGAAAAAGCTCGTCATCTTTTAAAAGGACCATGCAATGCTTTCTCCAATAGCATTTTACAAACACAAAATTCTAACTTCCTGCCTCCCAATTCACAAGTGCTCTACCCAACCTTGCAACACCTCCCCTCGTAAGAAAAAAAAACCCCATCATTATGAAAAGATGGGTTCTTTTTTTTCTTTTCAAAACCTTAACTCCATTATGTTACTCAATACATAGCTCGTTAATCTAAGTTACACATTATATACTAATTCTATTTACATATAACAATGAACACTACCATTTCTACCTTATCTAAACATTGTTCATTTAAACTCACAATAAAGCATCTGCAATTATATTTTCACGACCCGCAACATGTACAATCTGTAAATTAAATGGTTGTAACATGAGACTCCAATGAAATAACCTGGTGTTCATGTCCTTAAATCTTTCCAGAAATGTCAAAGGATTGTAATCAGCATACACCATTATCTTTGATACATTGTTTGCAATGTAAATATTAAAATGTTGTAAGGCGATTACCAAACTCAATAACTCTTTTTCATTGGTTGAATATATTTTCTGGTGAATATTGAGACTTTTTGAAAAATAATGGATTGGCCTTTCAATTCCCCAATCATCCTCCTGTAACAACTCAGCTCCAACACCGACATTCCTTGCATCAATGGTGACTCTGAAGGCTTTCAAGAAATTTGGCGTGGCTAAAACTGCTGTGGTGGTTAACACTGCTTTTACATTCTCAAATGCTTCCTGGCATTGTCCTGACCACCAAAATTGTGTGTTCTTTTTGAACAAATCTGTCAATAGTGCCACCATGCTACAGAAGTTTGATACAAATTTCCTGCAGAATCCGCTCAATCCTAAAAGTTGTAGCACCATAGTCTCTCAAAGAGCTCTGCCAAATGACCCATGGGATCTTTCCACAAGCGGCTAAAGATCATTAAGTCATCTATGTAGATGGCACAATTAGTCAATCCTGCAACAACTCTGTTCATAAGCCTTTGAAAAGTAGCTGGTGCATTTTCCACTCCAAAGGGCATTACTTTAAATTGGTATAGCTCATTTGGGGTTACAAAAACAGAAACTTCTTCTGCAGAGATAGTAAGAACTGCCGATGCTGGAGTCAGAGATAACACAGTGTGGAGCTGGAGGAACACAGTAGGCCAGGCAGCATCAGAGGAGCAGGAAAACCGACGTTTCGGGTCGGGACCCTTCTTCAGAAACTTGCTCTTTCCGACAAAGGTACTTGCCAGTAGCCGCAAAGCAAGTCCAACTTTGTGTTGTACGTGGCTTGTGCTACTTTTACCACACAATCCTCCAGCCTTAGAATTGGGTATGAGTCAGATCTGGTTACAACATTGACCTTCTGATAATCTACGCAGAATCATGAGTACCATCAGGTTTGGGAATCAGCACGATTGGTGAATTCCACTCGCTTTGACTCGTCTCTATAATGCCTTCTTGGAGCATCACTTCTACTTCGTTCTGAGAGGATTAAGCCTGTTGGGGTGTTGTTTTATCGGGACAGGATTCCCTACGTCAACTTCATGTACGATGGTGTTAGTCCTGCCCATTCTATTTCTACGTAGGTCCTCACAGCACTGTAAGAAGTCTTTCAATTCAGTTCTCTGTTCTTGGGACAGATAGCTCACCACCCTATTCCATTCT